ATTAAATTTTTGTTTAAATCATGTTTTAGAAAGGAGAAGGTTTGCTTCCTATTCGATGGATGGCACCCGAATCTTTGATAATGGGAATATTTACTTCTCAAAGTGATGTTTGGTCATTTGGGGTATTAATGTGGGAAATTACATCGTTGGGTGAGCAACCTTATAGTGCCAAGACTAATGAAGAAGTGATAAATTATGTACGTGCTGGAGGCAGGTTGCCGATGACTCTTAACTGTCCGTCAACATTGTACCAGATGATGCTAAGTTGCTGGAGTGCAGCGTATGCTAGACCAAATTTCGAATTTTGTCTGAAAAATATTATAGCATTAGAAAAGAACGTAGAGGATGCCTTACTGAGTCCGGTCGATACTATTTAGCCGATATACTTAAATTAATGTTTATTTTATTTTCCAAACGACTCAATAAATCTTAATGTAGAAAAAATATTTCTAAGATATTTCTAAATTGATTCTGATCTGATTATTTTTAGGTTTAATCTTAATGTTACATATATCAATGAAAATTAAAGAAATTTTGTAATCTTACTTTTTATACAATTTTGATTATTATTAAAAAATATCCGTTTTCATGATTGTACAAAATCAAATAATATAATGATATATCTAATTTGTTTTTTTGAATAATCGAAGCAAAATTTAATGATTGTGATTATATGTATATGTATAAACAAAATTTTTTTGTACATGGGAATATAATTAATTTTCGACATTATATATGACCGATAATTACAAACTGATGTAAAATTATGAGTGAAAGAGAAAACGCGAATAATATCCTCTATAATTAGTTGTGAATATATAAATATAATAATATAATTATTTTTGAGTTTATAACAGTTATCATAATATAATAATATAATTATTTTTGATTTTATAACAGTTATCATGAATGAACTTTTTGCATCATTCGTGATAAGTATATACATATATTACATCTTTTTATTTAATTACTCACTATATATTCAAATTATATTGATGATTACAAAAGCATGCAGTCGTACGTTTTCGCAACATGCACAACTTTAAGTCTAGTTGCTTGACTGCCCACCATCAAGCGCATGCTTTACTGGGCTCACAGAATAAGATTAGAATGCGAATTCGGCGAAGAGTAAAAAAAAAGGGAAATCAACTTTTATCATTCTGTTATAGTAAACAGTTGCGAAATTTAATAATATAGATCAAATATATTTAATAATATAGATTATAATAATATATAGAAATTTAATGATATAGATACAATACATTTAATAATATATAGAGAATATAATATATAGGGAATGTGTGTTCTCTACATAGTTTATCCGTTATTTAACATAGATTATAACAAATTATTAATTTAGATTATTACACTTTATTTAATTATATTTAATAGTATATATTAACATATATTAATGATGTAAATAAAATTTAACAAACAAATTTAAACAAAAAAATTATAATAAAAAATGAAAAATAATAATGAAATTATAATAAAAAATATTTTTGGTCCTTAAATATTATATAATAAATTATAATAATTGTTCAATATAACCACCATTTTCTTCTAAACATAGAGCAATTCTGCGCATGAAATTTTCTCTCACTCGTCTTAGCATGAGAGGTGTAATCTATGCACACACATTACGAATCCTGTTTTTAAGAATTTCTGCATTTTCCGGCAGGGTTTAGTAAACTTTATTTTTTAAGAAGCCCCACATGAAAAAGTCCATAGGTGTGAGATCCGGAGACCGTGGTGGCCATTCCTGAGGACCATGAAGTCCGATCCATCTCCCAGGAAATTTTTGATTTAAGATGATTCTTGCCAAAATAGAAGTGTAAGCGGGATGTCCATCTTGTTGAAGTATTATGTCTAGACTTCTAGACTATTAACTAGTGGCACATCTTCAAGATGTTCATCAAGCCAATGGAGTAAAAAATTTGTAAATAATAATCTGCATTGTCTTAAATAAATTCGGGACCGATAATGTGATCCCCTACTATTCCTAGTCACACATTTATAGCCCATCTGCCTTGAATGTTTACTTCCTTCATACAATGTGGATTATGCTGCGCATAATGATGCTCATTATGTCTGTTTATGCATCCGTCACTTTTAAAAATTGCCTCGTCACTCTAGAGAATATTTTTCAAAAATATACGTTAAAATAACATATAAAAATAACGTTTCCGACATCATTGAAATTCACCTGCGTAAATCGAGTTTAAAGTATTAGTATAAAGTTGACGACTAATATCAATTGACAACAAAACGTCTGATAGGTTGCAACAAAAAAATAGAAAATAAATTTTTAAATATCACTATACTAATATAAATATACTTTTAAATATAACTATACTAATATAACTATACTTACCTGTTCAATAACCCATTCACAAAAATTTATTTGTCGTAGCATATCACGAGGTACGAGCTCGTGTGTTGTATGCCGTTTAAATGGATGCCAACCCAGGGAATATTTAATAATTTTATGAACAGTAACCTGATTCATGTTCAAATGCGGTAGCTGCTCTTGTGCTTATATGAGGATTTGTTATAACAGCCTCTTGTACAGCATCAATTATTTCTTGTAGAACATGAATAAGCCTGGTGGATTTATAAAATTGTCCATTTCTTTTTAATCTTTCACACTCACACAATCGGTGAAAGAAACTATGGTCCACTTGTCGTCTGTCCGGAAATCTTTGAGCGTAAAGTGCAACTGTTTGCCTTTGATTTTTTCGACACTCGCCATAAATAAGGATCATGTCCGTTAATTCTTCGTATGAATAATTATTTCCTTCCATCGTAATCTCTTACGTGATTTTTTCCGCCAACAAAATTGTTTGAGTATCCAGGTGCATTTCTGTTTTTATAGTTTCTTGATCATCTCTTGTTTGTTGATTTGAACATGACCCATGTTACCATTCAAAAAATTATTAAACATTCCTTGGGGGAGGGAAGGTTGGCAGCCTTTTAAATAGCATACAATAAAAGCTCATATTTGGTGATATGCCACGACGTTTAAATTTTCTTGATTAATATCTTAAAGTTATTTATTGACGACAATTACGTGTCATAAAACATTGTGTTTCGTCATCTATTGACGTAATTAAAGGTTAACTATCCATTTAATATCAATGCTGTCTAGTTGCAATGCAGCGGAAATTAAATCAAACTTTAAATTTTATCTCGAAAATATTGTAGGTCTAAGAAGTGACGTAAAAGAGATGATATATTGAATCCAATAAATATTATTATTATATGTATTATCTAACTGATAGAAATAACTTATTGTTAATTATTGAAAAAAATTGTAAATCAATATGCATGTATTAATACTCGAATGTTTGTTTTCTTACGATACTTATTAGATATTCGACATGTGTGTGTACTTTTGTATTTTATATATTATATAAGATCTGCACACTTTTTAATATTAACCATTTTGTAAATTCGTAAATGTTAACACACAATTGTAATTTTCTTTTCAAAATTTTTTATATTATGTATTGGAGCTTTTTCCTATTTCAAACTGTACATATAAATCTTTGTACATACATATATCATTGCTGTGGAGGGAATAAATTTTTATAAATTTATAAAATATTTGAAAATACGTCTATTATTATGCATGAATTTAAAAAAGAGGCCATTATATAAATACTTGTTTAATTATTCTTAGTTATTCTTGACACGCAACATTATTCTTAATTATTCTTAGCAGAATGTTTCTTTAAAAATATAAAAATAGTTTTGAAAATAAAAATGTTGTATATCATTTAATATATGAATGGACTGAATAAGTCACAAAAGGAGACCGGAGCATTAGAAAATCACTTTTTTGAAAAAAGTCATTGATTTATAACGGGGAAAGAGAGAATTTGATTGGATAAACTAATGCACACTGGTACATATAAAAATTATCATATATAAAATTACAATAATATTATTAAAATAATAAATTAATTAATATTATTAGTTTTTTATATTATATATTATATTAAATATTATGTTAAGTTAATATTAAGTAAAATTATATTATATACGTTATTATAAGTTTATTCGATGCAAATAACGATAATAATATCTCGTACAATTATTTTATTTATGTTAGTTATTTATGTGCTCTATTGAAAATTTGTATTTATTTATATTAGAAGATTTATATTAAAAACGCTATGTATTGATTCAAACTGCATTATATGAATGTCATAGAAAACGTATAAATCACTTGTTTAAATCGATTATTATATTTTCTTATAATCAGAATATCATTTTATATGGTAAAGGTTCCTTTTATGCCAAAGAGAAGTTACTCAGAAATAAAATAATATAAAAAGTTAATAATAAAATTTATTAAACAATTATATATACATATAATTATTTTTATTTATACATTGAATTATTTTGTTTTATACATGTATAACTTTTTTGTCAAATAATTTTTAAAGATTTTAATTCTCTTTGAAATAACGCGAGTATCTCCGTGGAAAAAAATAAATTACAAACGGAATGCAGCTAATAAGACGTCATGGCAACACATGATCAGATTGATCATTCGAAGTCAGTTAGTATTGTGATCGCCAGCCAAACACATTACCGCGTTACTTATCGTTTGATTCAAACTGCATCAAATGAATATCATAAAAAATTGTGTACGAATAGTGGATTTTAAAAAGTATACGTAGTAACACAATTGTATATAGTAACAAAATCGTACGAACAATTTGTCATAATTACATATTTAAAACTAAAGATATAATAAATATTCAAGTGAATTCGATTACACGCTGTGTGTACTTGAATATGACTGAAAATGTTACAACGTCTATAATTCTATAACTTCTCTGATCGTTTGTGATTTGATTGTGGTTATTTTTTTATTGATGTTTTTCTACTATAATATTAATAAAAAAAAGCTGATAATTCCTTTGTTCGCTATACAATCAAATGATCATTTTGCATTGCCATTTGTTCTCCTAAAAAAATTATTTATTTGCTAAGAATTCCATAATTTAATCATAAGGTATATATTGTGATCGCGACCATAAAGAAAAATCTAAAAACATAATATTAGAAGATAATAACTTACGAATCGTTAAAACTGAGTTTTAAAGAATTTATCGAAAATAAATTTATATATATTTGAATTAATATCAATTCGATTAACACATCAGAATTAGTAGAGTGAGATAAACAATTAACTGAGAATTCAACGGGAATGGTTGAACAGGGAACTGATTGAGTGCAAACGTTTACAAAAAATGCAAATCATGTTTACAAAACAATTTTTTGTGTTTTATTGAAAGATTTAGTATTGACAAAGGCAACTATCACGCCGAAGGATTATACCACTTTAAACATCCTGCAGAAAGAAAATGTTTCCATGTGTCCGGAATTAAATTTCACGCAGGTAAGATATATTTTCGTTTGACTAAGAAACAATTGAATGTTATTGCAGTTAGTAGTATAACTATTAATATGGCTGAAAATGTTACAACATAACTAAACATGAATGAAAATAAATTATATATTCTACCTATAATAAGCTAAGATGAAATAAAATAATTCAATATGAAAGAATAAAGTATGTACGATGTTGTAAAAAAAGATGGTTAAAGTTTCGAAATTTTGTTTAAAAATGAATGTTATATAGTATATTAGATTTAATTGAAACGGTATTTTAAAATTTGACTGTATTATTTTATCTCTCTCTCTCTCTCTCCTTCTCTTTATATATATATATATATATATAATAATTATTTCTAAAAATAACAATTATTAAAATTAATGAAGTTTTGTGTCTACTATCTGCTACATAAATATATACATACAATGGCGCTTCAACAAATTTTTATGTTATTTTTCTTCAATTTTTAAAATTTCTTTATTTTTTCCTAGATATATATATATATAATATATATATATATATATATATATAATATTTATTGATTAAAGCTTTATATTAATGTAGATTTTATTTTATAAAATTAATTTAGAAAATTAGCATCATTTCTTTGTGTTTAGGATAATTATATAACGGGACAGAGCTACTAAATATCGAGATAGAAAATCTGTCTGATAAAAAAAGCATTCATCAAAGTTCTTCAAGTTGTATCTATTAACACTAATATTTCGATAGACAATATATTTAACAACTTTAGTTGTATCTATTCTTCAAGTTGTATCTATTAACGCTAATATTTCGATAGACAATATATCTAACATCTATCGCCAGAATTTATATTAATTTTCATTGTACATATATCCTTTTATATACAATTATATACACATATTCTTATCGAGACATTATCGGTTTATACTATTATATTATATTATTTGCTGAATTTGTTTGTGTTAAAAATATAACGAACATTCGAAACAATTCGCGAAAAAACTTGACAAGGTAATAAATAAAAAATTTATATAATTCTATGACTAATAACTGTAAAGAAACAATATTTTTCAATCTTTTTATTCTTGAAGTACAAACATTAATAAAACTTTAGTAATATCGGCAAATTAAAAAAAAAAAGTATTAGTTAATTGAATAGAGTTAACTAACCTATCGTGAGAAAGAATCAAATCGTTAGACAAAATTGTTTTAATGATTGCAAAGAGCTACACTTTTGTTTGTACTTGACAAAAGCTGTTATGAATCCTCATTGACTCTCGTTAACCTATTGATTGATTTTCTTTTTGACATGAGTTATGTTTGATATGCAAGATGCCTTAAAAAATAAATAAAAAATAGATTTCATGAATAAAACTACATCACATTCAATTTATATCATTTAGGAATGGTATATATAAAACCGGTATTATTAAGCAAACCAAAAACGAATGACAATTTTTTGTTTAATTTTATATATTATATAATTTATCATTAAAAGCCAGAAACAATCGCCTCAATGATATTCACTTAATTCTTTTCGTATGTTACACTTTATGAAGGATATTTCAATGTCCGAGAAAAGTGATCATCATATACTAAATTTCAAATCTGACCGGAGTTATTCTGATAGTATGACTGTGAGAAATAAACGAGAAGTCGATGAAGTTATACTTGGAAATATTACTATCATTCCAGAATTTATCGGTAAGTTGCAAAAAAATAAAACATTAATAACAAAATCTATGATAAAAAAGTGTAAATATAATTTAAATTCAAGAGAGAATGGCAATCAAATCTAAAAATATCTTCCAGTATTGAAAAGAATATAAATTCTAATTCTGCCCTAAAAAAAAAACAGAAAAGCATAATATAAACATAACATTGTACATAAAAATTGTTATAATTTAAGGTAAAATCAATTTTATTAATATATTACTCTGTTTTAAAGCAGTCGCAAATATTATACTTCTGACTTCTTAAGCTATAGGAATTTTTCGAAAAGTACTTGTCATTTTAGTAAAAATTATTTATTCGTTTTTGCAATGAATTAACGATTACTTTTCTAAATCTTAAATGACGCAAAAAATTCTTATGTTATTTTTTTAAAGATCAATACTGTGCTAATTTCCATTTTGTAGTTTACATTTATTTTTTCTCTTTCCTTTATTTTCAGATTAAATTGTTCTTTCTGATTTACTGAGATAATCCACTTAATCTTATATATAACTGTGTTAATGTGTACGATCTTAAAATCTTTAGAAAGCAGTTTGAGCAAGCCAATATCTCTCAGAGCATTTGTACAATTTGACAGTCAATTTACAGAAAAAGTAAACGACATTTTTGTGACATTGAGGTAGGAAATCTAAATTCTCAGTTTGTATTCTTTCATTTTTCTTTCTTTTTCTTAAATTCAACGACATAAATATATCAAAATGATTATTCTGTTATAATTTTGTTAAAATATAAAATGGTTCAAATTTAATTTTAATTTATTATTTTAATTTATTTTAATTTAATTTTAATTTAATTTAATTTATTTTCTAACGACATCTCGAACATTGAAAAGGATCTTGAAAAGATCGAAACCTACGTATGTATTATTTTCTGTTCACTCGAATAAATTTTTTCAGACATATTTTTTATATTTTTATATTTGACTGATTATTAATATATTATGTCTCTTACTTAGAGTCTTATATATATATATAATATATTATGTCTCTTACTTAGAGTCTTATATATCTTATATATTAATATATTATGTCTCTTACTTAGAGTCTTTATTATTATTTCGATTTTTTTATTTTATTATATCGTCTTTATTATTATTTCGCTCTAACATCTTGCGCCACGTTCTTTTAGCCTTCCTTTTTATTTCGTTTTGCTAAAATTTTATGTTTTTACAGATGGAACCAACCATAATTTGCCGATGAAATAATACAAATGTACCAAGTGCAGTGTTCTTTCTTCGAGGACTTTAAAGAAACCTGCGACGATAAAAAATATCACAGCTACAAAATTGGAGCACACGGCAAATATTATACTTTTGATTTCTTAAGCTATAGTAATTTATCGAAAAATACTTGGCATCTTATTAAAAGTTATTTATTCATTTTTGTCATCTATTAACAATAACTTTTCTAAATCTTAAATTATTATATTATTTTTTTAAAACTCAATACTGTGCTAATTTTCATATTTTGTAGAGTACATTTATATTTTCTCTTTCCTCTATTTTTACATTGAATTTTCTTTCTAATATACTGAGATAATCCACTAAATTTTATATATAATTATGTTTTATATATAAATATGTACGATCTCAAAATCTCTAGAAGGCGGTTTGAACAAGCCAACATCTCTCAGAGCATTTGTACAATTCGACAGTCAATTCACAGAAAAAGTAAACGACATTTTTGTGACATTGAGGTAAAGAATCTAAATTCTCAGTTTGTATCTTCCATTTTTGTCTCTTTTTCTTAAATTCAACGACATATACACATAAAAACGTTAAATCTGTTATAATTTTACTAAATATAAAAAGATTGAAATGTTATTCTTTTACAGATGGAACCAACCTAACTTTACTGATGAAATAATACAAGGGTACCAAGTGCAGTGATCTTTCTTCGAGGATTTTAAAGAAACCTGCGACGATAAAAATATCACAACTACAAAATTGGAGCACACGATGCACAACCTAACATCTAACATGACATATTATTTTCGAGTACGTGTGCATACTAAAATTGTTGCTGGTCCTTACACGGATTTAATCAATGTGTCGACTACACATGAAAATTCAATACCTATATTATTACATATAACGTATGATGATATCAAAATATGGGACTTGGATTTAAACATTATTAATATCGTAAATTTTAAAATGTATGTAATTTTACAAAGTATACTAATAAAATAAATGTTGCTAATTATCATAAATCATTTATAATTATAAAGTTAAAGTTATTATTATTATGCACAAGTTTATTATTATCAACATTATAGTAGTCATAATTATGAAATTAGAAATTTCGACTATAATTTTTTTACCATACAATTCTAGTTCCTTTTTTTTCAGACCAGTAGTAAGTCATATACTCCATTCATCAAGAGTATATGTCACTTATTTGATACAAGACCATAGAATTTATTGGATTGACAGAAATGATCTAAAGACATGGAAGATTAATGAAAATAATATCACAAAAATAGCTAGCTTTGATAATAATCTAGAGAATCTCTGCATTGACTGGGTAGCAAGAAATCTATATTTCACCTATAATGATTTCATCTACTCTTATATTATGAAGTTCGACTTAACAATGTGGGAAAATGGCATAATTAAATTTGATGAGATTATCAAATCGCAAAATGATATTCTCCATTTAAGTGTATCACCGTCTATGGGGTACGTTTAGTACCGTTCACCTGAGAAAATAATTTTTCATTAAAGATTTATACAAATTTGTAATTTTTCTATAATTTTACATGATTTTATAATTAAAATCATGGTAAATATTCGGAAAACGGTATACCTCACCGATTTCATCGCTCTTTGGATATGTTGTAAAGAAAGTTGTTCTGAGTAAATCCCCGCAAAAACCAAGTCCGGGACGACATTAGTTTAGGAGATATAACAAGTTTAAGTTTCAAAATTTTAATGCTTCTCATCGCAAGAAACTGTCTATTATACGATTCTATTGAGGAATGTAAACATGTTTACGTTCTCAAAAACACGTGCTAAATTTTTCAATGGAACTAAAGGAAAACATTTTTCAATGGAACCGCCAATGGACCTCGTTTCGTACCGAAAGCAGAGAGTCGTGGGGATGAATCTCGCTTCGCGTGGAAAGTACAGTTATAGACCTCGCTTCGTACCGAAAGCAGGGGGTGGTGGGAATGAATCTCGCTTCGCGTGGAAAGTACAGAATGTTAGCATGTGCCTATGAAAAAATAAACATGTTTACATTCTTGAATAGAGTCGTATAATGGTGAGATATTGCGGCAAGAAGCATTAAAATTTTGAAACTTTAACTTGTTATATTTCCTAAACCAATGCCGTTCCTTAATTAATTAATAACCGTTCCGGACTTAATTTTGGCGGAGATTTACTCAAAATAACCTCTACAACATATAATCCTCTACAACATATCCAAAAAGCAATGAAATCGATGAGGTGTACCGTTTTCCGAATAATTACCAAAATCATAAGTAAAAATTATAATAAGTTGTTATATAATTATAAGAATTTCGAATTTTTACTACATATAAGTTTCTGTTTTAAAATAATGTTAAGCAATTTTGTGTTAAAATAATGTTTTATAATGAGTAAAATAGTTACATATTTTTTAGAATGTTATACAGATTATACGGAATAAAAGGATACAATAATAGGAGAATGACAGAATATAGTATGGTAAAATATCATCTCGATGGAGAAATCGAGCAATCTGTTAAGATAAATACATCCCTTTGCCTATTTTCTATCGATTCTTTTTATGATCTAAAAATTGATGACATGAATAATGAGGAGCTGTTAATTTACCGGTTAAGTGCGGATTATACAGGGTGAGGCAAAAGTATGGAAACCCCTAAATTTTTCGAAAACTATGCATTTTAGAAACAAATGTTTCAGACAGAGGTTGTAAGGTTTCAAGTAATGCATTACGTAGCAATATCAGTGTAACCTTGAATAGCACCGTCAAGGTCACATAAAAATCACTTTGAATTTTTTAAATGGAATCCCCTACTTTTTATTATATATTCTTGTAGCTTGTTTTAAGAGCTTTCCAAAACACTATAATAAAGTATTTTTTCAGTGAGTAACTTTTCAAGTTATAAGGCTCGAAATAATTTCTTAATTTTACATAAACCATAAAATATCTAGTAAACCATTCATTTTTCGATTATCTTACCTTCATACTTTTATGTACAAAATAATGAGAGGAATCAATTGGTGTAAAGAAAACACATAGTTGTTTCTAAGAAAAAATATGTAATTTGCAATTAACAATTCCATATTTTTTCTTAAAAACAACTGTATGTTTTCTTTACACCAATTGATTCCTCTCATTATTTTGTACATAAAAGTATGAAGGTAAGATAATCGAAAAATGAATGGTTTACTAGATATTTTATGGTTTATGTAAAATTAAGAAATTATTTCGAGCCTTATAACTTGAAAAGTTACTCACTGAAAAAATACTTTATTATAGTGTTTTGGAAAGCTCTTAAAACAAGCTACAAGAATATATAATAAAAAGTAGGGGATTCCATTTAAAAAATTCAAAGTGATTTTTATGTGACCTTGACGGTGCTATTCAAGGTTACACTGATATTGCTACGTAATGCATTACTTGAAACCTTACAACCTTTGTCTGAAACATTTGTTTCTAAAATGCATAGTTTTCGAAAAATTTAGGGGTTTCCATACTTTTGCCTCACCCTGTATAATTGTAACAGACATTAACATTTCTATGTGCAATACAATTTTACACAACAAAAACGTAGATTATAACAGCCGACCCTACCTATCTATGACATTCCATTTTATGACGATTGATAAAACATCTACATTTTACCAGTACAAGAGATAGATTTGTTTAAGACGGATTATACGGAATACGACTTTCCTTCATATATATACGTTTTGAAAAAGAAATATGCAAGTCTCAAGAGCGTAAATTCAGCCGAACATGTTGAAAAGATAGTAAATTCACACCATTTTTTTGAAATTTACGCTTTTGATAAATCAGTACAACCATATTGTTCAATGAGATGTCTGACACTTTACGAAAAAATTTACAATTTTGAGAATGCAATAGCAAACAGCATTATTGTAAATTTTCCGGAACCGGTGGTAAAGAGTGGATGCAAAAAATATAATTTACCAACTACTATATATACTATCTCCATAAACTGTTTAGACAACAATCTCAACAAGTCTGAAGAATTCAATGTGCTGACGGGCGAGCGATATTACGAGATTCAAAACTTAACATCATTTACAGAGTACAAGTTGAAGTTTACTTTAAGTAATTTTTACTTTGATCAATTATCAATTATATTATAATTATAAATCCATTCGATTCGAATGTGATACCAATGAAAACTAATTTGGACAGGCCTAATGCACCAGAAAACATGAGTGTTTTAACTTTGACGCCTACTATAGCAGTAGTTCATTGGATGCCACCCAAGAAATTGAACTGCGCGGGCATGACCTACGATGTGCATTGGAAGTCAGTTACATTAGTGAACGGCACGCAACAAAAGAGCAAACAATTGATTAATATGCCGAAACATATGGTAGATGGCAGATTTTTCACAAAGATTGACTTGTCGCTACCAGTACAAGATTACTTGATATACGTGCGTGTGTACCCAATTAATTTCAGCAATTTGTACAACGAGAGTTTAAATGAGATCGTTCACATATCCTCAGAACCAAACAATATTATTTTGAGCGAGATCAACATAAATAGCATGAACATTTCGTGGATCTCCAACATTAATCTGACGATCTTTTTTACACTAGAGTACAAAGATATTGCAGCAGAAAAGTAGCAAACAATGAATTCTTTTAAAATGAATTATAAAGATAAAGTAATATACTATGTCAAAAATTTACAATCGGGAACTTTATACAAGTTTCGCTTGATATTGAGATATCTCGAATATGAGGAAACTTTTATATGGCCGGCTGATGAAAGATTTATTTTTTCAACACGTGGTAGCAAACGTGGTAAGCAAATGAAAATATCCATACAGCACGATAAGGTTGCGAATATATTGAAGAATAATTTCATTGAAACATTGCAATATTGCAAATCAAATGCGAAACTTTGCTGAGTTATTGTTATAAGATTGTGATAAAGTTAAAGTGTTCGCTTGTTGCAATGAAATATTGTAGCAATATTATAGTGTAATATATTGGAAAGAATGCAACATTATTGCAGCTATTTAATAACATTACGTATAAAATATTTTTTGTTTTCGATGGATGAATATCTTGGAAACATTTAATTAAATTAAAAAGCTTGATATAAATACTAGTTTATGATATCTAATATATTGCAAAATTATATTTAAACATAACATCATATAAAATAAAATGTTATATTTTTATACAAAATTGCTCTAAACTATTAGTTACGAATCACTTTTTTTATTTTAAATGTTCTATATACTCTTATAATGGGTATTTTATACACATTTATATATTAGTTATAGAATTAGTTATACATTCCTAATTACATTTTGATTTAAAAATTTTAAAATTTTAAAAATTCGTTATAATTACATATATTTGTTTATAAAAAGTACAAAAAAAATGCATAGAAAAATATAATGATAGATATAATAATATATATTCTTAATATAATAAAAAGATATGTTATCTTTGAAGATTAATATCGTATTCGTACATGAAGTGAAAATATATCATAAAATATATAGTAACATTGATATAAAATGTTATCTATATTTTAATAAAAAAATAGCAAGGCTTATCTGTAGCTTAGAATTATATTTACTCGATATTATTTGTGTCAATAATTCATTTGACTTTTGCAAAAAAGTAAAATGCATCGCATATATACAGACATAAAAAAATATATTATTACATTATTTTTATAGATAAATTAAAGAGTGTTATAGTTTTAAAATGTTTTCAAAATATGAATATCATATTGCTAATATCTAATTCACATTTTGTTAAATTATATTTCTACAATGTTTTCGTAATGTTGCCTTGCAATTTGTAATATTGCAACATTGTTGCGAAGTAGTTGTGCTGCATAGATATTATAATATTGATAGATATTATAATATGTGCTGATATTTTTTGGATATGAATAGGAATCTAAAATTTAAAAAAATTAAATCTTATAATAAAGTTATAAGTAAAAATAAATTTGTAAAAATATACACACACGAAGATATTAAAATTATATTTTTGCTTAATCTAGATATTCCGAGCACTCCTGGAATAATAGGGAATAAATATTACTTATTATTGATGTTGGTTATAGTTCCTATAATCTGCATTTTCTACATTTATCGTTGTAAGTATATTTGATGTAGAAGTCGACTTGAATTGTAGATTATACATATATATATCTGATATAATATCTAGAGATTTACTGGAAATAGTAATTTACTTATATAAAACTAAACAAATAACTTTACTAAAATACAGTAAATTTTATAATACATATTATTACATAATTTATTAAATCGAAATTTTATAATAGTGTATCGTCAACGCAGAGGTAATAATGAACAACATTTGTCTTCTACAATGACCGATATAGAATTGGCGATTCTATCTGAAGTACCTTGCTGAAACACTCAATTCAACATGATTTACAGTCCTACATTATAACCCGGATGAATGTGCGATAACTAAAATCGCACGAAATCAAATTACACTTACGAAACATCTTGGTAGAGGCGCATTCAGAATGGTAAAAATTAATTTTTTCAAGCAATATTTTAAATTATTTTTTGGATTAACAAAACAGATACGTATATATTTTTAATAAAGATATAAATTACATGAATTTTTTAAATAGATTATAAGTAATATAAAATTTATATGAGAAAACAAGCATGTACTTTATTATATACTTTTCATTGAATTATTTAATATAAAGTAAAATATAAAGTAAAATATAAAGTAAAATACTACTTGACATTAAATTATACATTTTTCAATAAAGTACGCATGTAAATTTGTGTGAAATATTTTGCAGGTGTATCAAGGAAAGGTGAAGGATTTAAAAAAATCGGGCACAGAGATATCCGTTGCAATAAAAACGCTTCGAAAAGATGCTTCTTCCCATGAGAAAGAGAAATTGTTAAAGGAAGCCAAGCTTATGAGTCATTTTCAACACAAACATATATTAAGATTGTTGGCCGTTTGTTTAGATGGAGATTCTCCGTTACCAGTGTTGGAATTGATGAAAATTGGAGATCTGTTAAAATATTTGAGAGAATGTCGAAATTTGCAAGCGTCAGATTCGCTTGCTCTGCGTTTGCAAGATTTGCTCGCCATGTGCGAAGATGTTGCGCGAGGTTGTTGCTACTTGGAAGAGTTGCGTTTCGTACATAGAGATCTAACGTGTCGCAATTGTTTAGTATCTTCGAGAAATCGAGATAATCGTGTCATCAAAATTGGAGACTTTGGACTAGCTAGAGAGATCAAGGATGATTATTATCGCTTGGTATATATAATTATGGAAAAAAGTTAATAATTAAAAAATGAATTCTTCTAAAAATACTTTCTATTTTTTTATCATAATAGTATCATGCATTGTTTTTTTAAGTAATATAGAATAGAAGTAATTTTTATTTATATATAGCAAGAGATAAATTAACGTTTTTGATTTTGCACACATTCTAGAAATGAGCAACTTAAATCAGAAAATTAAATTTTTGTTTAAATCATGTTTTAAAAAGGAGTAAGTTTGCTTCCTATTCGCTGGATGGCACTCGAATCTTTGATAATGGGAATATTTACTTTTCAAAGCGATGTTTGGTCATTTGGAATATTAATGTGGGAAATTACATCGTTGGG